GGGAGGCAGTGATGGGGAGGAGGCAGTGAGGGGGAGGCAGTGAGGGGGAGGAGGCAGTGAGGGGAGGAGGCAGTGAGGGGGAGGAGGCAGTGAGGGGGAGGCAGTGAGGGACAGATTGGTGGGAGGAATACATCAGCAGAGCCCAAGGGCAGATGCATAGTAAAGGGGGGGACCCAAAAGGGCAAGAGGCCTCAGCAAGTGGAGATCCTGCCTACAGCAGGGAGACACAGCAAGAAGGACCGGAAAGGGGCGTGGGCAGGGTGGTGGCTGAGATGGGGCTGTAGGTTAGGAGTCTGGGTCAGGCGGCTGTCACAGCAGCAGGGCTTACAGGTCCGGGAGCGGTTGGTGTCTATGTCTACAGGAGCCAGCTGGTTATTCTTGCGGAAGACATCCTTCCACAAAACGCTGTCCTGGAAGCAGAGCTGAGGGTTCCCTCGGATCAAAACTCCTCCCTTCAGAATCTCTGTGGGGAAGGTGAAGTGGTCAGCTCCCTCCCGACCTCCCTGGGGCCTCCTGCCTTCCCCAGTGAGCAGCCACACACAGGAACAACCCAGGATGAGGAAGAGGGGATCGGGTCGGCAGAGTGGGAATGTTCACGTGGGTGGGGGTCCCCGGCTGCCTTTTGCCTCACCCTGTGCACACTGTGTGTGGGTAAACAGAGAGGCTCCGAGGCAGGGGGATAGCTCAGTGGCAGAGCAAGCACTCAGCATGCACCAGAACAACAAAAAGTCCCTAAAGTCTGAAACCCCACTTTACCACCGACTGGCTGTGTAACCTTGAACAAGTCATTGCTCCTCTGCATGCCTCGAACTCTCATCTGCAGAGTGAGAAGAACACCGGAGAAGGCAGGTGGTGGCATGCCTGTGATCCCGCACTAGGGAGCTGAGGCAGGAGGACTGCTTGGGGCTATGTAGTGAGATCACGTCTCAAAACAACAAGACCAGAAAAACAAAATAAACATAACAGAAACAAACACACTCGGTGGGTTAGTCGCAGGACTTTCAGGATTGCAGCAGAACTGAACCAGGAGTCAGCATGCAAAACACCTGGTGCCCTGGGTGGGACAGGGTCAGGTCACGGCTGCCACGTGCAGTTCCACAGATGGACTGTCCGCTGCACACTTTGACATGGCCAAGATGAAGGGGTAAAAAAACAACAGAAAACAAACAAACAAACAAAAAACCAACAGTCTGATCTCTAGTGATTAAATCATGGATCTGATGCAAGCTGCAACTTCCTGAAAAGGAGGGGGCTCAAACCTGGGGCCTTGCACATGCTAACCAAGCACTCTGCCACTGAGCCACCGCACGGCCTTCTTTTTCTGATCTTCATAGGGGTGAAAGAGAGGAAGGCTCGTCTGGCCTGCGCACAGCCAGGGGGTATCATACACAACCCTCACGGAGCCCCTCCTGAGCCAGAATGGCCCTAGTCAGCAGACAAGGCCCAGGAGGAGAAGCTTGCAATGGCGGCAAAGGCACCTGTGAGACTTCGAAGCTGCAGCTCCCGCAGCCCTTCTGGGGTTCTGCTTGGGGCGGTGGTGACATTGTCCAGAGGGTCTCGGTTGTCTAGCACAGCCAGAGCATACTTGTCCTCAAAGAGCTGGGTCCCTCTCACGATGCGCAGTCTCTGCAGTGGGACGTGTGTCACCTGGTTATGAGCGATGAGCATGTATCCCTGAACTTCCTGGATGTCCTGGCGGGAAAGGCAGGGGATGGAGAAGGTAAGCGTGTCTGGGCTTGAGAAGTGCCTGCACCTCATAAGGCCTGAGGGTAACCCAGGGTCGGGGCTATGTCCTGCAAGGCCCCCTGGCCACTGAGCAGCAGTCTTGCCCTCTCAGGCCCTAGGAGGACGGAGCCATAGGCTACTCCCCACCTGGTCTCACCAGATCCACCGAGGTGGAGGGATCAGGGCTGATAAGAGCAAAGGAGGCGGAGGGATCAGGGCTGATAAGAGCAAAGGAACGCTCTGGTAGCTGGAGCCAGCTTCCTACCCTCTGCATATCTCTAGTATCATCTTTGACAGGAAGGGCCCGTGAAAGATGGCGCGTCTGTGATTTAACAGGCCATGTCTGTCCCTTGCAGTTGTCTCCAGGGCCTGTGGATATGATCTAAACTCCTCTCCCTCCTGCTACAACCTCCCCTCAGACATTTCTCTCGCATTCTTCACAATGGTGGGCCAGGATGTCTGCTAGTCTAATACATAGATAAAGAAACTGAGGCCCGAGGCCTGGAGAGGTTAAAGGTCTAGACCGCATTCACAGAACTGGACCTGGAACTATTCCTACATGAATAGTGATGGGGAGAGCGGAATCAGCCACTGCAGGGGGAGTCAGCTGGGTTTACACAGGTATCAAAGGCATTCCTATTTGAGGAACCACAAGAAAGGAAACAGAGGGAAAGGGTACCCCCTTTCTCACACATCTCGAATCAAGGGGCTCAGCAGGACCTGGTCTCACCTGCAGGAATGAGAGGCTGGCATTGGCGGGCAAGTAGGTAAGTTCCAGGTTACCCTGGACTACCTGGCAGCCCTGGTAGAGGTGGCGGAGCATGTCCAGGTGGGTCTCAGGACTGGCAGGGAGCCGCAGCTTCATGTCCGTGCCGGTGCACACTGGCGGAGGGGAGGATGTGGGTCAGGACACTGCTCATGACCTTCTCCAATCTAGTTGCCTCCTCCACACTCACTCCCTGGAGTCATGTCATCTCAGACAGGGAGAAAGCATGGCTGACGGCCTTTCCACCCATGCCCCTGCATCCACAAGGTCTACAGCAGAAGAATGCTCTCGTGTTTGGGAAGAAGTTGGTAAACTGGGGAAAGGCCCCCTTTTTAGCTGGGCCACCTTGTGCATTCAGTGGGGCCCCAATGTGTCAGCCCTTTAGGGCTTACCACCCATACAGGGTTTCAGCAGGCAAAGAAAGCCTCCCTTTGTCCCAGAACTGAGGGTGAAAAATCCCCGAAGAGAGGCGAGGATGAATCAGACCCCTCTGGATACCCCCATCGGCCTCCCAGGCAAATAAACTCAGGGCATCCTCCTTCTGCCATTCCAATACACCCACATGTCAACTCCCTGCTCGGGACAACTGCCCCCACAGGACTATCCAAAACATGGGCCAGGAAGATTGGCTGGAGTCACTGCTGGGACATAAGGGGAGTCAGGGGCCTGGCCATCATTGCAGAGCGCCCTGGAACACACCCACATGGAGAAGAAAAGCCTAGAACACCAGCTAGGGGCCTTGGCTGCAGATCCTGACCAGGGAGAGGCACAGTCTGCAGGTTTCTACACCGGCTCCCTCACCCTCACCACCTCCTGGGGCAAGACTCCAGAAGCAGCTGGCAGAAGCTATGCCACGAAACTCCTGCCACAAGGGCACTACGTCAGCTCTGTGTACCTGCCCGATGCCAACTATCAGCTTGGGGTCCCAAGATGCACTGCTATCCCCTTGCCTACCTGACCCTCAGGCTGGTTTCCTAGAGACCAGATATTCCCACTAAAGTCACCAAATAGGAGAAGCTGCCCTCCCCCAGCTAGGGGGCTCCAGGTAGCAGCTGGCACCAAGCCTACCAGCAGGAAAGAGATTAAAGTGCCCAGTTGAACTTGTTTTTCTGCTCGGGTGAGAAGATGAATCACTGGGAGCATCTTGCCCAGGAGGTTGGGGGGAAGGCGGGTGGAGGTGTTGCCTTCACATACACAGGCCCAAGGGTGCCTGAGCTGGTAAGAATCCCTATGGGTTACCGCTCCGCCTTCCAGCGACTATGTGCAGATTCAAGAGACACTACAATGACCAGCTTTGGGATCAGACTTGAGGAGCCCTGCTGTACCAGCTACATGGAACCTAAAGCCAAATCCTGGTTATCCTCCTGCCTCCGGGTCTGAGGAGGGCTTGGGGGCAAGTTCCTGGGCTCCAGGCTGCCTTCAATGGCCTCAAACTGATGGCCTTCTAGTAACATTGACAAGAGGCCTCTTCTTGCCTCTCTAGGCAGACAGGGAAGGGAGCAAGGAGGGCAGAGGGGAAGGAACAGAAATAGAAATAAGGAAAGGCTCATCTCCTGGATAGAGGGGAGACAACCAGGCCTGACCACCCCATACCGCACCCACTCGCACCCTATCATCTCTCTTCTCGTTCAACCCTCCCCCCCCCAGCGAGTCTCCCAAAAGAAACAGGAGCAAGGGGTGGCAGCCAGGCCCAAAATAACGCCCTGCTGCCAGGGCCTCCCCCAGCATCGCAGTTTCAGCTGCTTCCATGCACAGCTGTCTCTAGGCCCAGATCCCAGGTCCAGCCTAGCTGGGGACAGGATGGCAGAGACGGAATAGGGGCCCAGCCCCTGTGGCAGTTTACCCCCTGCGGCCCTCTCTGGCCTCATCTCCAAGGGGAAGGGACACCAGCTGTGGCAGCCAAGCAAAAGGAGAGCAACAATAGCGATCGCCATGGCAACCGAACTGAGTGCCTACTGTATACATCAGATACTGAGGCGACTGCCTCTGTTTTACAAAGAAGGAAACTGATCCTTCCAAGATCCTAAAACAGGCTTAGCAGTAAATCACTTGCAGAGCAAGTACAAGACCCGAGTCCCAATGCCACACGGAAAAACCAAACAACCAAACCAAAACAACGGCAAAACCGGCAACCGAGCAAAGCAGGTGAGATCTGAATCCACGTCTGCCTCAGATCCCCTCTTCCCTCCATGAAACCTCAGCACACACACAAATAACAATGCCACACCCCCCACAAGCATAAAAACACACTAATTCTCCAGTGTGACCAATAAACACACAGGCTCAGGCAGGGCAGGGTGGCTGGGCCGGGCAGAAGGTCAGAAAGACTGGCAGCCACACCCCACTAGCCAGTTTGTTTATCTGATTTGTGGTTGGTTTGAGTAAGAGTCTTAAAGTGTTCGCAGACAGGTGGGAAAATTGGTACCCTGAGACCTCCTCCAGGGGAGCTGAGAGCTGCCAGCTGACCCCACACCCAAGCACCACGCTGACAGCCAGCCAGGAAAGCCTCGGATCCTTTCCAAGTCTCTGCCTCCCTCCCACTCCCCACTCTGTACCAGACTCACCCCATCAGCTCTGACCACAGTCCCCATAACCATCCTGGCCCATGAATTTCAGGGTGGGGCAAAAGGCTCTAATTCTACAGAGGGATGCTCTCTGCCTCCAAGACAGAAGCCCCATCTTCCCACTCTTGGAGACAAAAGTAGCGTAAAGCAAGACCATCCCAGAGCAAAGCCAGGGCTCACAGGGAGAGCTGGACAAATATCTAATGAATGAATGAATGAGTGTGTGTGTGAATGAATGAATGAGCGTGTGAATGACATCTAGTCAAGAGCCTCCAAACTGAAAAGAAGAAGTAACCATCCCTCTGCTCAGAGCTGGCCCCGGTCCTTCAGGTAACTGCTGCTGAACACTGGTAATCAAGGTTTAGCCCCAGTTTAGGGCTCCTCAGGTGGGTTCCTGTCTCCCAGCTGGTCCTCAACTCCAGCTGTGTTCTTTCTTCTTTCTTCATTTGCAATGTGGAGGACAGAACCCAGGACCTCCTGCATGGGGGCACCCCCAGCCGCTATCTCGCTCACAATATGAAAGCCAACACTTCCCTTGGTCTTCATAAACACTGCCAGGAAACTACCTACATCCCCAAAGCTCCCCAACCAGGCCAGAGGGCAGAGCTCTCTCAAATGATGCCAGGACTCCCTTGCCACACACACCTGCTCTATGACGCGGGTGGCAGAGCAGAGCCTGGACTCAGGTTCTTTTGTCCAGAACCCTGGCTCAGCTCTTCTTGGGCCACAGCGAGCATACGCTTAGCCCTCCAGGGCAGCAGCTAAATCAGACTCAGATCTCTAAAGCGAACAGTGACTGGGACATAGACGGCCCCTCGGTGAATATTTACTGACCTCAACAAGTGGCAACAACTCTTCCCCCCTTCAGAGGGCCCTGAGAGTTAAAGGGGAGGAAGGGAGAAGCACTCTGTAAACACAAGCAAGCTCTGTAAACAGACCGCAGCAACCCAAACACAGGTTTGAAGGATTCACCCACCACCACTGCGGACAATACAGGCCCCCTTCACATCCTCTGCCTGATTGGTGACCTAGCAAATAACAGAACTGTCACTCCAAGAGACCAGGAGAGCTGTCCACCGGTTGGGGACTGGAAAGGGGTTCTCCTCCCTTGACCATTCATTCGCCCACCTTCCCAGGGCCTTCCTCTGCCTTCCAGCCCAACCTCCATCAGCTCCTCATGTTTCCCCTTGATCTGCTTACATTTCCATGGGCCTGTGGATCCCAATGGTCTTGACACCTTCCTGCCCTCCGTCCCTGGCACTGCTGAGGGCCCAAGAGAAAGGCTAACATGGGCTGGACAGGAAGGGAGCTAACTCTGCAGCCAGGAAGGCATCTCGGGCCCCCATCTCGGGGCACATTCTTTGGCCTGAGTTAGGGGCTGGGAAAGCCACACTGAGTAACAGACTAGCCC